AATATTTATTTATTCATTTATTTATTTATTTATTTTATTTATTTATTTATTTATTTATTTATTTATGTGTATGCACACAATATATTCAATAAGCAGCAGCAGCAGCACCAGCAGCAGCAGCAGCAGCAGCAGTATGTGTGTCATTCTGCTGCTCCTATAATATATAAAAAATATATCTAAAGAAAGGCATTTTTCTCTACATAAATAAATAAATAAATAAATAAATAAATAAATAAATAAATAGATAAAAGTTACCAAAAGAGAGGCATTGTTGTTCTTCTTCTTGTTCCTCCTTCTCCTCTTGTTGGTATTTATCGCCAAATAATTTCTCCATTTCTTCGTCGTGACGTTTTGAATCAAATTCAACGTCTAAGTCTAATACGGAGCTCACAGCTGCAGCAGCAGCAGCAGCAGCAGCAGCAGTAGCAGCAGTAGCAGCAGTATGAGGAGTAGCAGCAGCAAAGGAGTAGCAGAATGAGCAGCAGCAGCAGCAGCAACAGCAGCAGCAGATAGATATGTATTTATATCTTGTATGCAACTATTATATTTAATATATATATGGTGTGCTGTCTAAACCCTAAACCCTAAACCCTAAACCCTAAACCCTAAACCCTCAAAAAAACATACTGGCATCATCAAGACCTCCAATATCACGAATTAATTTTAATTTTTGTTGAATTTCTTCTTTTTTTATATTTTTTAGACGTTTTAATTCTTCTTTTCTTTGTATCTATAAATAAATACACAAACCCTAAACCCTAAACCCTAAACCCTAAACCCTAAAACCCTAAATTATGAGGGATACGTAACCAGAGTTATACCGCAAACCCTAAACATCCCTTGCATCAAACTCATAAACCCTTTTTACAGCACAAACCCTAAACCCTAGTAAACCCTAGTAAACCCTAGTAAACCCTAGTAAACCCTAATAAACCCTAATAAACCCTAGGGGAATAAGTTAGGGTTTACCATTTCTGCTTCTTTTCTTTGTTGTTTTCTTTCTCTTGCTTTCTTTCTTTTATCATTTGTTTGTCTTAATGAATTTATATTACGAGGATAAGATGCTATTTCTCCTCCTCCTTCTTCCTCAAATCTATACACAAGGATAAATAAATATAAATAAATATAAATAAATATATAAATAATATATAGTAAATAAATAATAAATAACTAATAAATAAATATATAAGAAACAATTAAATAATAAATAAACAATAACTAACTAACTAAATAAATAAATAAAATAAAATAAAATTAATAAATAAAATTAATAAATAAAATAAATAAATAAAATAAATAAATAAACAAATAGATAAATAAATAAATAAAACAATAGATAAATAAATAAATAAATAAATAAAATAAATAAATAAATAAATAAATAAATTACCTAAAGTTATAAGATGCCTCGAATGCCTCTGCCTCATCAAATTGTTTTTCGTCTTCTTCTTCATCTATAGACCTATAAATAAATAAATAAATAAATAAATAAATAAATAAATAAATAAATAAATAAATAAATAAATTAAATAAAGAATATAAAGAAAAGGAAAAAAAAGAATATATATTATTAACAGAAGGAATACACAAAAAGGAGATAAAAAGGAGACAAAATAAATAAACAATAAAAGAATAAAAAAAGAATAATAAAAAAAATAAATAATACACGAATAAATAAAAAAAGTAAATAATAAAAAATAATAATAAATAAACAGAATAAAAAAGAATAAGTAAATAAATAAATAAATCAATAAATAAATAAATAAATAAAAATAAACAAATCAATAAATAAACATAAATAAATAAGTAAATACAAAAAAAAAAAAAAAAAAAAAAAAAAAA